AGGAGGCACATTTCCCTCTCGAAATGTGCCTCCTTTAGCTAGCCATGTCGGAATATCCTACGTTCTCTCCCTCTCACCTCTGCTTGGAGAGTAGTCTTTTCCAGCACCACGCCACGCCGCCATGGTAGTCGCCATTTTCGTTTCCAATCTCCAAACTCTGCCCGCCAGCGCCAGGAAAATACGAATTTTCTCCCTCAAACATCCAAAGAACGGCACACATCCGACCTGGAAACGTCCAGACGGTATACTGCATGCTTGAGACGGATAATGTGCGGACAAAAAGCCGAAAATTTACCCCAAAAGTTGGAGAGAATTCACGCACAACACGCCGCCCGAAAGCGTGGTCACACCAGCTTGCTGCCTGCAGCTGGTCGAACGGACCGTACCATATGTGATAATTGCATAGGGGTGACGCGAGATTAATCATTATTGCTTTTGATAACTAACCATCACCATTCCGCCACCAATCAAAAGAAATTATTCTTGCCACACAATTTTGGACTTGTTTTCTGTACCAAACCCAATGATCACGATACCCTCTGCCACAGCAAGTGTTTGTATCCCCAAACTTGTGGATGCCCCCCCCCCATTTGTTAATAAAGGGTTAATGCACTGCCCCGAGTTGTATATGGTGTCATAACTGCATGAGCAGCTGCCATAACCACCGAATAAACCACCGTGTGAGCGAAGCGAACGAGGTGGTTTATGAGGTGGTTATGGCAGCTGCCCATGCAGTTATGACACCATATACAACGAGGAAAAGGCAGTGCATTAAAATTATTATCATATAGCCTATCCAAACTGTCAATCAACACAATTCCTGTTTGAAATACAACAGCTTTAATATATATACATACATAAAAATACATTCGAATATATTATACGCTTTAAAACAAATATGGATAATTTCATTTAATGCAAATTGTAGTTTAAATGAAGCTAAACAAAAAAGTTTATTGGACAGAAAAATGCTACAAAGGTTTACAGAAAGAGTCGCATGCCCCTATACCCTATAACATAATGGTATCAGCCATAACACGACATGTGCTGTTATTCCGCCATAACACCACATGTGCTGTTATCGGGAAATAACAGCACGGGTATCCGGGCCTCTGATTGGTCCACGCCGTCCGGCTATATGATAATAATATATAAGCCAAGATCGCCACGTGCAAGCCTACATAATGCACAGTTGTAAAGAATGTCCCTCGTTGGAATCTACATTGACATCGCCCCTTAGATGAATGGCTCAATTTGAAGTGATCACTACGTTTTTCAATCCCTATAATAGAGGTAATACTTATCTGCCAGCCTACATGAGATACCTTCCCTATTGTACTGTGTCCTGCATTATTTATCTATTTAAAGTAAGTCTGATTCGATCGGCTGCTGTTTGGGCCAAGATGTACGTGTCTTGTTTGCCCATCATTTTGGCACATCATTTGTATGGATTATAGGAAGATTTAAATATGTGGAAGTATTGTTTTGGTGGTGCTGGTTTAGTGGGGTTTTATGTATCTTGTCTGTGGTAGCGAGGATTGAAAGTGAGTGGGCGGAGATTTGGTTTATGTTGATTGACAGGGTTGATACCTGCCATGGGTGGTAGGATGTGGTAATAAGAGGACCCCAGGAGTGTTTGATGTGTAAGCATGGTATGAAACATACACCATGCTGTAATACCACAGTAAGTATAATCCTATGATGTACTGTCCATTATATCCACCCTATGGTGACTTTAATAAGCCGTTAGGATGGTGCCGTCTGTTTTCCTTTGCGAACTGAGTCGTGTCCTTCAATGAAAACCTCCTTATGAAGATGAAATAGAACAGAACAGTGACGGATCGAGTGTGAAATGGAAGTATTGTTTTGGTGGTGCTGGTTTAGTGGGGTTTTATGTGAGTGGGCGGAGATTGAGTTTATGTTGATTGACAGGGTTGTAACCTGCCATGGGTGGTAGGGTGTGGTAAGAGTACTCCGGGAGTGTTTGATGTTAATCGTGGTATGAAACATACACCATGGTGTAATACCACAGTAAGTATAATCCTATGATGTACTGTCCATTATATCCACCCTGTGGTGACTTTAATAAGCCGTGAATATGATGCCGTCTGTTTTCCTTTGCGAGTTGAGTCGTGTCCGTTCTTATAAGTCTTCAATGAAAACCTCCTTATGAAGATCAAATAGAACAGAACAGTGACAGATCGAGTGTGAAATGGAAGTATTGTTTTGGTGGTGCTGGTTTAGTAGGGTTGTATGTATCTTATCTGTAGCAGCGAGGATTAGGAGTGAGTGGGCGGAGATTTGGTTTATGTTGATGGACAGGGTTGCGTAACCTGCCATGGGTGGTAGGATGTGGTAGGAAGAGGACTCCAGGAGTGTTTAATGTGTAATCATGGTATGAAATATACACCATGGTGTAATACCACAGTAAGTATAATCCTATGATGTACTGTCCATTATATCCACCCTATGGTGACTTTAATAAGCCGTAAAGATGGTGCCGTCTGTTTTCCTTTGCGAACTGAGTCGTGTCCGTTCATATCAGTCTTCAATGAAAACCTCCTTATGAAGATGAAATAGAACAGAACAGTGACAGATCGAGTGTGGGAACTCTTCTGATGAGGTGCGATGAAACCATGGCCTCCACGTCATTGGCGCGTAAATAATTAGATGTGATTCTTTGTGCGTAGTCATTAGTGTGTCTTCATGTCATATGTATAGTCAATGAGACTACTGCGCAACTTTTACATTAAAGCAGTCTAAATCATGCCTTACACAATAGTCTCTACCAGACTAACTACGCTGTCTATATATAGGAGAATAATTGCCAGGGGAGTTTGGCCGCCTTGTAGGTTTGACAGGCTAACCTCCCCGCGGCCGGACTCCCTTGGCCAATCTTACTCTCTTTTTTGCCGAATTCTACGATCCGTATTCCCGTAGAAAGGCCAGGCGGAGGCTATACAGAAGAGGTGGTTGTGGATGTGGTATAAGAAGTACTTCTCCCCAGGACATAATTAGCTCCATCACCCTTCACGCCCCGGAGAATATTGGAAAACGGAAAAGAAGCACCGAGACGTAAAATTTGCCAGCTGCCACCGCCGCTAAATTCTGTATTTCTCATCGATAACATTCGTGCGAGAATGACGAGGTCGTACACCTCACGGTACATGTATACAGTATAGTGAGATACCTTTGCGCTTTATACAAGACCTGTACTTGTAGCTTGTAAGAGCATAATACATGTACCATGAATATATTTAATTCAATAACTGATTACTCTCATTATAAAATAAAGACTCAACTTTCTCTGCCAATACTATACTGAATTGGGATTTACCCCATATTGTCATGTTGATTTTGATTTTCATATATTGTAAGACTTTTTTTCTCTAGAAAAGTGCTGAAGGTTCTGCAGTCTTAACATGAATTTGCATCTATATAAAATGAGAAAGGTCGATTGGAAATGTCAGAAAAATATCGCATTTGTCCCGTACCATTTACCATAGGCCTTATGACCTTACCACAGAAGTTTCGACGGTTCCTGCATGTAAACCACCGAAAAGCAAAGCACGACTACAGACTATAGTAGACTTAAGTAGAGGTGCTATTGAAACAAAAAACACTAGGGCACTCTGAAACCTATCTTCTGATAGATTTTGTGTCTGACATATATTTTCTTGTCCATCCTTTCAGCCGCTTTACTTCACCACAGGCCGCTAATGGCTCGCAACCTTAACAATTGTAAATATGCCGGCAGTTAGCCTGCTTTGATCTTCCCTGGTCGCGGCATTTCCCAGTTGTTCGGGCCCTTTTGGGGGTCGTCTGTGAGACCTAGCGACACGCCAGGCATAATAAAAGATGCCTTTTATGAGGTCTTTCATCCCCCGTCACATCCCCGCCTGTTGCTCCATCAGTCATAGGTTTTGTAGACAGGCTGATAATGGGCAGCTGTTGGTGCTAAAAACTATGTCTCGAACAGCAAGGCGGAAGAGCTTAGCGAAAATCTATACCGCTTGGTCTAATCGACATATAAAGCCTATATTACCGGTATACTTGCGTCATTAGACACTCGATATGTCGTACATCATTCAGGTTCATAATCTGATGGTTGGAAGGGATATCTCGGTGGAGCAGGAAGGATCTTGTTTTTTTCGTAATACGGTGATTTTGTTTCATGCTATGAATGATTGCGTCTTTGTGAAACAGCTTTATCCTTTCTTGTATATCCTATTGGGTTTACAAAGCCTCTCCATTGCCCGATTTAGCCACGATCCTATCCTAGCAGATGTTAGCGTTACGAGCGTTCTCGGACTCCCGTGAACTAGTCGATGTTACCGATAATATATTGACGCTCACGTAAAACTAACGAGAACGGTATCCAGCCGATTTAGAACGAATCTAAAATGAAAGGGAATTAGTCAAAATCGAAACCGAGTCGTGTACTGCATGAACATGACTCTCAATATACCACTAAACAAGTTAAAAGGACCTTTGCTACCTGATACGAAATAGGTGCGTGGCTAGATAACGACATTGCTATTGGAATGGGATTGGATTGTTATCTTAAAATGAGTTTTTGCAAGTTATTTTTGAGAAAGTGTGATGGATCTGACTCACTCGGAATATCAACATATAAGCGGACTAGCTAGCGTACTAAACTGTGAACAAAAGATATCGTTTAAAGCAAGCAATGACTGAAAACATAACTTTAGAATTAATTCAGAACAAGTATACGATGATCAAGGAAACTCAAACGTGGACAAATTAAAGATAATTAAAAGAACTGAAGATGATGGAAACATGACAGCCAAAAATAAGGTAATTTGTGCTCTAGTTAATGCGGACAAAAGTTTTGAAACATGATAGACTTTCAACAGCACCAAAGAAAACCATCATGATCAACCATAAAGAGTACAATCCTACATGTACATTTCTCAATCATGTACCCACGTTGACATTTATTTAAAAATAACATTTACTCGTTTCACATATGTTTGGATATAGAGGCAGCCAATACATGTATATATGTCTGTGGCACGGTGGTTGATGTCGGAAAAAATATTTACTAAGCCGTGACCTGAAGTGTTGACAACAGGCTCTAACTGAGGTAACCCGGGGATCAGCATGTCACAATCTTTCACCCGGCAATGTCACGAGATCTCTTGATTGAAGATGTTCACAGCGAGTCACTGACATGTTGTTGAATTAGTGTTAACAGAAGACACGTGGCGTTATGTGTACTGTACTTCGTGACATCTCAACGAAGATTAGACATCCAGGCAATGGCATACACAATTCAAGGAACTTGTTTCTAAAGCAATTTTTCAAAATCCATCCAGTTGCTTGAGTAACAATTTTTTTGTGTTTGTAACATCATAGCATGTTGTTGTTGGCTTTATTTTCGTAGAGTTTTAGAATTATAACACGAAATAATGATTCCACAAATATGTGTTTAGAATTCAATTGTACCAACCATGAACTTTAAACACCGCAAAAACCTCCTTTGTCCTCATACCGCGATTTAAGCATTTACAGAACATGTTTTGTTGGAACTCAAATGATTTGTTAGTTTTCTACTGTCATGGCCAAACCTCTTAGGTCTGGTTCATTTAACACGCAAACAACGTGGACCAGGTCATGTTGGTTCTATGGCTGTACTTGGGAAATGTCTTTGCCGTTTTTTGAATACTAAAATAGATTTCTCGTGTCAACATTACCATTATCAATCACGTTGGGTCAACCATCACACGTAATTCAGATCAAAGGAAAAACACTGCGAAGAATCATACAAATAATAGAAAAATATCACTAGAACAGATGTATGTGTTAAATTGTAGTGGTGCCTTGGCCTTCTTGTATAGATTGTTCTCAGGAGAAACCATGGACCCTTCTTGTGCCGGCTAGAATAACTATATTGGCTTGTTATGAGTTGTGACGGCTTCCTAATTGCTTAAGTTAGCTAACCTTAAGTAAAATTCATATGTTCATGGGAAAATAATGAAGTAGAAGGAAGGTATATGAAGGTTAGGCGGAAAGCAATGGAGACATATGGGATAGGTTAGGCGGAAAATGTCCACAACATATCAGTGATAAACGAAAGGTTATCAGTTGACTACTCACAGCAAATAGCAGCCAGCACATGGTGAGTCCCACGGCTACAGACACGGTCAACTTTGTAAACTGAACCTGCATGTGTGTCTCCTTGTACTCCATATCCTGACTCTGAACACTGCACACCGTCCTCACCGACTGTTGTCGTCTTCTCTTCGGCTGTCTGATCCGCATGGCGACGGCAGAGTTCGCCACCACGATAACGACGAGAGCTATGACAATGTTCAGGAAGCCGAGATAGACAACGAACCTGCCTTCCGGGCTTCTGTTGCGGAAGTCAAACATACACCAAGTGTTTGGATAGTGGATGACGTTCTTGTTTAGACCGAAGACGGGTAGGAGGGCCACCAGGGTTGAGTACAGGGACAGAACTACAACAAAACAGCTTGCCTTCTTCACGTTGTGTCCGACTTGGCTGTGATACTTGAAGGGGTAGATAACTGCAAGGAAGCGTTCTATGCTCATGACAGCGACAATGAACTGAGAGGCAACGCTGAGGCCGTACAGGAAAGTCGCCGACAAGTCACACACCGGCTGTGCATGAAGGATAGAGGGATAGGAGTAAGCAATGCAGGGGATAGTTATGCTAAGGAAACAGTTCAGAAGGTCTGTAACGGACAAGGCTCGCACCAGAACGTTCGGTATGGTCACCCGGTCTTCCAGGATCTTCTGTATCACGATGAGGATGAGCAGATTCAACACGAACCCAACTATCGTCACCAGGCAGAGAGTCACAGAAGCGAGATGTCGGAGGCGGCTTTCCAACGGGAATTCTTCATCTGTGACATTGTCGTAAACACCAACAACAACGGTCGCGTTGTGAAGATTCCCTGCAAGGTGGTAGGAGTCCATCCTTCTCGCTTCACCGCTTGTTGTGGTAAGATTGAGAGTTCCGCGGCGTTGCCGCCTGCTGGGCTGCACGCTGGCGGAGTGATTGTGTGTTCTAATGCTCGCCCGGCCTCGCCAATGTCTCACGTGTCTCTGTTTGGGCAGGCTGACGCCGGTTCCTGGCTACGTGCGCCGCTAAGCGCAGGCTCGAGAGAAATGCAAACAGAAGAAAACTTGTTTTCGGATGGCCCTCGGCAGAGAGTTGTCTCAGGCTGTGGGATTACCTTGCGTCATTTGGAGGTTTCTGGACTACAGATGATCCCTATATCCTGGCTTCTAAGGAAAACGACTGTCACGTGCAGTAAGACGTCACACGTGCGTCAGCGATCAAAGGCATGGTATTGATCCTGGACATACAGATGATGGTTACAGATGTTCTAACAATTAGGATCAGCAGGTCACATTGATGATTCGGCCTTCGATCTTCATATCATCGCAAGCTCGTGGCTTTCTTGGGATAGCGGTACATTTTTCGTACGAAATTCAACTGTCCTCTTCCGGAAAAGGCTGTCTTATATCCTTGTCGGCGGTTGTTGGTTCTGTCACAGCCTGCTCAAAAATTCTACGGCATCAAAATCATACGAAAGCCTACGACCTTGGAGGCAGAAGAACACAGTGATTCCGTGGAAATAAAATACAGTTTGACGAACTAACTAATGTCGCACCCCACGCACGCCACCCCTCTACTGTTTACTAAAACCCTAAGAGGCGCACATCCGCATCCGGCGTGCGTGGTTTCCATGTTTTAAGCAAGTAGGTGGTTGAGGACTGACATTTTGCAACATGAGAGGGGAAAGATTCATGAAATGCAAATGTATCTTTAAAGGTCATCTTCTAGAATTACAAACGCATTGAAAATTGAAGAGGCATGGAAAACCGTTATGACATCCTGTGCCAAGGACGTATTCGCAAGGAATTCGCTGGCCATGGCACAGAAAAAGAGACAGGGAATAAACTTAACTGTGTTCATCTGAGTCCGCACGTAGCTACAACAGTTAGTTTGAAAGTTTTTTGTCATCTGAGATTCAGCAAATAGACTACGGTGCACGAGGGTAAGATTTTGGCGCATATGCCTGAAGTCCTGAAAACACATTACCGCTATATAGAAGTAAAAGGCCGGTCTGAAATGATTTAGCCCAAGACAATCATGAGGTTATTGACATAGCACTGATGTCATGGCGTTTTTGTTAAACCGAAGACGGGTAGAAAGTCCTTTCAGCACTGCATGCAGCTATATGGCCGTAAAACGCCAGTCTGGAGTGAATTGGACGAAGACAATTATGACGCCCTTTACTCGGCATAGCACAATCGAAACCAGATTTTCGTGAAGGTAAGACGGTAGGTTAACAGGCATTAGTCACACCGCGTCTTTTGCATCATAAAACAGCAAATGTATTGTGCCAGTAATTGGAAGTCTCCCCATGTCCAATGTAATATGTCACACTGTGTGTGAGATGGCGGTGTAGATAAAAGATAGTTTCTTTCTAGTCGGCACGTAGGCACTTTGCGTAGAAGGTGTTCTATACCCAACTAATGGACCATTCCTCAGAAAGCCAACTTAAATTGCTGAAAGGTTGAGTCTGAATCTTGAATCTATCAGGCGCTATGTGTAATAATAGTTCAGAGACTATTCAGAGTCTAAGACACGTACATTGGTTATGTATTTATTTTGATAGTCAGATCGTGGTTATTCAAATAGCTATGCAGTTTATTCAAATATTTTACTTCTTTTGGACCTGTCCTACCACATTGTCCAGACCTGCCCTATCACATAAACGTAGTAGCGTTATCCACTCTCAAGGATGTGTTATTTTCCCCTAGCTGTATCAAACTTGAGACAGATATTTCTTAGACATCTCTCCTGGGTCAGAATAATAAGATAAACTTCTTGTAATCCATCTTCATTGTTCTCCATGTACAGTGCCCCAGCCGTGCCCTGTTCTGGTGTACTTTCATCTATCAAAGCAGGTTCATTCCCCCCGGTAGTGACATGAATCAGCGCTAACGCACTCTGCTCTGCTGTATGACATCAGATGCTGACACGCGGGAATGGCCGCGGGTTTTCTGCTCGGATGAGAAACACCCCGGTCACGGGGAGGGTCACTCCTGGCGGTAGTCATCAACTACCAGTTCACCCAGGCGCAGTTGTTTCCTTTCTCCTGCACGGTGTCAAGCCATATACATGATCCTACACTCCGACACTACTTGGGGGTTTCCAATATACCTGAGACAAGGGGTGGGAGGGGTTTAGTCGTGATGTGGGAGACTAAATCTAACCTAACCCTAAGCGTGCATGTAAGTCTAATCCTAGCCCTGAACAATGATCCCAACTCTAACGATAACTCTAACTCTAACACCAACCCTAACCCTTGTCCTAACCCTAGCCTTAACCCTAGTCCTAAACACCTGATCTCACGTATGTGGCAGCTAAATGATTTGGCTCAACACCGGGCTGGCGAGGGTTCACTCACCTCGGCATAGCAAAGAAGGATCTACTCAACAATCATTTATGACATCCACTGCGTATATTGCAGCATCAGGGAGCAACATGATATTGCGAGGATTAATGTAATAAGGTTGTGGCCACTTATGATATGACCCGTATCAACGTTTCATGTTTTGAATAGGCAAACGTATCCCTGCAGATTCTGAGAAATGCCGCTGAGCGGGTGAAATGATGAGATGGTCTGTAGAGAGGTCATCGGAAGTGATCCATAGAGATGCCGCTGCCACTAGTCATGCCCATATTTGGTTATGGAGACAAAAGCATCATCTGGTACATGTACGTAGTAAGCCAGCTGAAAATGACTAAGTCAGATGTGGCCACGAATTGAAGCATGGAAAACTATTTGTCTTCCTTAAAGAGCCTTATAAGTGGTCTCAAGTGATCAAGATAAGAAATCATCGCACACGGAAGCTGACAGAACATTCTGCAACACAGATCCGCACAGAGGCAGTTTAAGCCAGACAGCCAATATGTAGGACTTTGTTTTCCCCGAAAGGTAAGAAGCTGTCATGAACCAAGGATGAAAGAACGTTGCGGGGAGTTCACAAATGTCAGCACTTGCATCATAACACATGCTCTATTTTTTACCCATAGTGGAAAAACTATACCGTGCAACATGCGGCACCTAGCATGATTAACCAACCTTGCAACATGTAGCGGAGGCACATAACGTTATACATTTTTAAATCTTACTCTAGTTTCTTGACCATAATGTTTACCATGCTCATAAACTTTATAGAACCTCTCATGTATAGTTTTTTTCTTGCGATCAGGTAATAAATGACTTCTTCTTTTATCCAAGATGCCCGATATTAGTATCTAATTGACATTTAAGTGGATACAAGGAGAAGATCCTTATCCGGAGAATCAGTCTGATAGAGTACAAATTGCCCGAAACTCAAGTCTGTGGTTATTTGTATATTTGTATGTGTCAGAAACTTGGGATGGGGAATGTCAACAACCTATGGTTGAACCCACTCATACAATATTCTAGATTCGCATCAATATATACGCGCAATAGGTACTAAACAATCCAAACAACAGTAGGGTCATGACGTAACATCATGTAATTAATAAATGGTGAGTGACGTGTTTAGTGATATCATCCAACATTTACAGCTCAACTCTGCATAAATGATGTTTACAACATATCATATCCGTGATAGTCAAGTATGTGTATGACGCCCATTCTACGCTTTATGACCATGTTGTTCATGCTACCGAGGAATCTGATCTTGGGTCTACTAAGTTTGAAGCTGCTTCTAAATAAGCGTAAGCATAAGTATGCCGTTTTCATTGATTGTTCTAAGATGACATCCATCAATTAGTATCATACAATTAATGAATCTTATGCCATCGTCTGGAAGCATATCGTCGACATAGTCTTTTATATAGCATGGTCGTTATGAGGTTATACAGTCATTCTTAATTAATGAGAAGCCTGATGTTTTTCGAGTGGTAACTAGTAAAATGCGATCTCGCTACACTTCGCGTGTATAGCTAAGCACGCCTGGCAATTACAACACTTTTTGATAAGTATGTTGGGTTCTTTTATCAGAACTTAATAATACATAGATGAGTACTTACCGTGAAGAATAGCCAGCAGAACGTGAATCCCACGGCCACACCGACCGTCAGCTCGGTGAATCTCAGGTTCAGTTGTCTCTCCTTGTCCTGCGTCTTCGCTCTCCGTCTCACTCTCCGCGAGTCCTTCGTATCAACCACCGATGAGAC